TTTTTCCACTTTGTTTTAGTTATCTAATTTATTAGTGTAGTTGTTTACAACATGCCATCATTATTCCTTTTATTCCAATGAGATGAGTATTGATGTTCTTTTATTCTCAATTTTAAGTACTTCAGTATGACTTCTCTCTTTCTCCCCTTGATCAGGTCATGTAAAAGTTGATGAGTTTTGTTCATCTATCAAAAAATCATCCTTTGGTTTTGTTGCTTTGGTTTTGTTGATTTGTCCAAATTTTTCTAATCTATTTTATTTGATTTTATTCTAGCATTTGTTAGATTGTGATTTCAGGGTGAATTTGTCCACACATTTAGGGAGAAATTATATCAGTTTTATACAATCTGTAACAGAAAGCTGAAGCAGTCACAATACTTGACTTCATCCTGCGAGGCCAACATTGCCTTAATTCCAAACCAAAGACATTACAATAAAAGAGAATAATAGGCAAGTCCCTCCCACAGACATAAATGCAAAAATCCTACAAGGTGTTAGTGAGGTGGATTAAATCATATAGAAAATGAATTATATAACATGGTCAAGTGGCTCAACACCTAGAAACCAGTTTAACTGATTACATCAACAGAGGAAAGGAAAAAGGATGATCATATCTATATATGCATTCGTAAAGCTTTTTGGAAAAATTTAGTGTATATTCATGTTTAAAAAAGCTCTTGGCAGCTGGGCGATGGTGGCGCACGCCTTTAATCCCAGCACTCAAAAGGAAGAGGCAGGCAGATCTCTGTGAGTTCAAGGCTAGCCTGGTCTACAGAGCTAGTTCCAGGACAGGCTCCAAAGCTACAGAGAAACCCTGTCTCGAAAAAGCAAAGAAAATAAAAGAGCCTATTAAAAAATAACAGCTCCACAGCTAATATAACACAATGGGGAGAAATTATGTTTTCCTCTAGCTGCATAAACAAGGCAGGATGGCCTCTCCTAACATTCCTAATCAAAATCACGGTGCTAGCTGATGCAATAAGTTAAAAAAAGAGCAGTGGAGGAACTGGTCATAGACGGAGAGGTTGGGGTAGGGTGGGGTCAGAAGCAAGAGGATTTTTTCCAAGTTTAGGCTAAAATTCTAAATGGGGGCTGCCCCAACTGTCAGTGCAGCTGAGGATGCAAAACGGCGGCACTGACTCTCCAGAAGTCAGTAGTCAGTTTCTCACGGAGCCAAACACAGCCTTACCACAGGTCTAGCAACTGTGCTCCTACATGAGTTCAAATTTGTGAGCACACATCAAGCTGTACCTAGAAGTGCACAGCTGTCAAAAATTGGAAGCAAAAGGTAACAGTCAGCGAACAGATAAACAAGAAAACATAGTCAGATAGTGAGAGAGAATGAGCCGCAAGACTGTGTGTGGGTGGGTAGATGCACACGCGTGTGCGTGTGAATGTGTGTGTACATGAGGTGCATGTCTATAGCACACCAGTGCCATTGCACACATGTAGAGGCCAGAGGACAGATTTTTGGAGTTGGTTCTTTCCTTTTCCCTGTATGTGGTCTCTGGGGAAAGAACTCAGGTTGCTAGCCTTTTGCAGTGTGTTATAGCTCTGAGAGGAGAGGTTTCCCCTGTGTGGGCTCTGAAGGGAAAAGGTATCCCAGCCATTCAGATCACTTTAGAACTAGCCTGTCATGTTCCTCTAAACCCCCTATTGGGATGACAATTGCTATTGCAGAGAATTTAGAGGCTAATTATAGAGTCTTGACGTTTTTATGACGTTCCTTCACCAGGAACACAGCATAGCTTGTCTTGTGTGTGTATTTTGCCACCCCCTACCAGTTTGTATGTTGAAATCCTAACTAACCTTCCTGGCCAAGGAAAAGGCAAGAAGAGCCTTTTGTGGGTGATTGGATTGAAAGAACAAAACACTTATGAATGCGTCAGTGTCCTTATAAAACAGACGCAGGGGTGCGCATTGCCACTTTCCACCATGTAAGAACACAGCACGAAGGGACCGTCTGTGAACAAGGAACAGGCTCACCAGACACTGGCTATTCCTCGGTCCCCATCTCGGATGTAAGTCCTTCAATTGTGAAGAGCAAACTCCTGTTGTTCATAAACTCTGCAGTATATCCTCTTTTGTTGACGCAATCCCAGTGAACTAAGACAAACACTAACAAAAGGATTTTAGAAAATACCGTTAAGCCAAATCTTCTGAAAAGATTTTATTATTACTGATTTTGTATTATTGACACAGAGTCCCTCTCACTATAGAGTTGACAGAGATCTGGAACTTGCTTCATAGACCAGTCTGGCTTCAGACTCGAAGCACTGTTCTTGCTTCTGCCTTCTAAGTGCTTGGTTGAGGAGTGCACCATGGCGCCCAGCCCATCGGCCCAAATCTTGATGAACTCTTACTGGTTTGAACAGTTCTACTGTGGCTATCATCAGTGTTGATTGTAATTATTTCAGAACTGCCTGTTTGTTGGTCATCTTCCTGTCACTAGGACAAAATGTCTGAGGTTACAGCCTGACACGTGGAAAGTTAGTTTTCGTTTACACGGCCAGAGGCCTCAGTCTGCACTCAATGGGCCCTGTGGTCTTTGTTTTTACAGCAGAGATATATCATAGCAGGGAGTGCACACTAAGCCAGTTCGGACTTTGGTGTTTTCTACTGCACTTCAGCTATATGTAATGTATATTTTTTATTCTACTGAAGTAGGCATTGCTTGAGCTTTAAAAAAAAAACAAACAAAACAAGGGAAGAACCCTAGGAGCATGCATCTGGTGAAGGAGATAAGGGAAATACACAGATGTTTCAAACAAAACACGGGGAGTTTAAACCGAACAAGATGTACAGGCCACCCTGGAGGTTCAGAGGGGAAACAATAACAACTGGGCAGGCTAGGGCTACGGACAACTGGGGAAGAACCAGAACAAAAGTATTCCATGGAGAAGGTATCATTTGATGCTAGCATATATGCCGTCTAAGAGCACCGAGAACGTACTGTTTGAAACAGGACCTTAAAGATTTAAGAAATCTAGGCACGGTGGATCCCAGCCTTTATTGTGCCTGAGCTTGGAGCGTCTTTTGAGTTCAGGAACTCTAGACCAGCTTTGGCAACATAATGAGACTCAGCAACAAACACAAACAGACAAAAGGGGCTGCGGTGAGACATGCCTGTAACCTCAGTACTTCGGAGGCTAAGACACAAGGATTTTGAGTTTAAGGCCAGCCTGGCCTACATGAGCCAGTCCTGAAAATAATGGAAGACCTTGTCTCAGGAAATCCCCCAAATGCTGGGGATGGAGATGTAGCTCATTTGCTTGAGTGCTTGCCTGGGTTCAAGCCACAGCACTACACAAACCATTTGTGACCATACATGTGATGATACATACGTACATGTGATTCCAGTACATACGAAGTGGAGGCAGGAGACCCAAGGGATGCAGGCCAGCCTGGTCCATACGAAACCTTTTCTCAAAAACAAACTAATCTGACTGGAGAGATGGTTCAGCAGTTAAGAGGGCATGTTGTTCATCAGAAGATACTTGGTTCTCAGCACCTACATTGGGCAGCTCACAACCACCTGCAATCCCAGCTCCAGGGCATGACAGCCTTTTCTGGCCTCTACAATCCCCTGAATGCACAGTGAACACACACACACACACACACACACACACACACACACACACACACACACACAAATCTAAAAAAATCAACAATGAAAGGAACAGTAGACAGGCTATTGGGAGAATATTGTTACTAATGGAGGGAACCACATATGCAAAGCATGAAGGTGGGAAGGAGGAGCTTAAATGGCCCTGTTCAGGACGAATTGTAGCTGGGGTAGATGCTAAAAGTAAAACCAACTGACTTGGGTGCTAGTGCCGGTTTATACTGATGCTGTTATCTTAGGCAGCAACTGTAGAAGCTTCCAGTGGTGATACCGGGACCACTGCTCCTCTTCCGCCTTCTCTTGTGTCCAGAGTTTTCTCTTGCTTCTGTCAGCACAGCAACACTGCAAAACTTTAGACAACCAATGAAACCCCACTCTCCTCATTCACCTGGGGTGATGGGTGTGTGTCTGTGTTTGGGGGGGGAATTGGGGTGTTTCTCTCGAAAGTCAGGGCAGAAGGTTCCAGTTAACTCCACTCTGCACAAGCCCTCCGGGGCCAGCGTTGAGGAGAGGGGGCTGAGATGGGAACAGTAGACAGAGACTTAGGTGGTTTAATGATAACATCAGGGGAGTTATGATTTCAGGGTGTCCAAGAGGAAGTTGGTAATAGAGACACAGATAGCAAATTCCAAGCTGTGTGCCAGGAAAATGAACCATAGCTATAGATTCTCAAGACACCCGAGGCCTAAAACTGGCAGTGGTCAGCAAAGAATGAACCCCAAACAAATGGGGGGGGGTTGGTTAGCGGCTACCCAGCTGGCCTAAGAACTAAATAGAAAGAATTGGTGTATGTGGGCACCATAGGTCAGTGATAGAGCTTGCTTAGCCCGCACAAGACTGGGGTCAACCCCTAGTGCCAACATGTGTGTGTGTGTGTATGTGTGTTGGGAGTGTGTCAGAAGAACTGTAACCCCCAGGATGGAGAGGGACCTGTAGAAGCTTTGTTCAGTGATCTTAAGGTTTCCTCCTACCAAGACTTTGATGTCATAAAGTAGGTACCACTGAGCAAGCCGGCCTGGCTTCAGAATCAGTAGGGCAAGCAAAACTTGGTGGGGGTCTACTATGGCCAGCAAAAGCTGCAGTCAGGTTCTTTCTAGTCTGCACGGTTCTGGGGTCCACCTGAGTTCTAGGACACCTCCATGGGCCTCCCTCGGCCCACAAGCCTCAGAGCACCCCCGCTTCCGCAGGGCCTTGTCCCGCAGGACCCGCACACTGCGGCGGGACCTCGGTTCCTCTTCCCCTCCCCGGCGCACGGCCTCAGAAAGCGAAGCACGCCATGCGGGTCCCGCAGCTCCCAGCTCGGCCTCGCGCCTGCCGCCCCCGCGGCACGGCCAGCAGCAGCCCCAGCGAGGAGGAAGAGGCGGAGGAGGAGGCGCCGCCCCCTTGGCGAGCTCGGCGCCCCGGCGGCCTTGGCAGGACCCATGGCGGATCTCTCGCCTGCGCCGGCCCCGCGGGAAGGCGGCCCCCGTGCGCACCGGCCCTCGGCACCCTCCCCGCCGCCGCGCTCTCTCTCCGGCTCCGAGCCCGACGAGGCCGAGCTGTCGCTGAGCCTGGCCCGCACAAAGACCCGCTCGTACGGCAGCACGGCCAGCGTGCGGGCGCCGCTGGGCGCCGGCATCATCGAGCGCCATGTGGAGCACCGGGTCCGAGCGGGAGACACGCTGCAGGGCATCGCGCTCAAGTACGGAGTCACGGTGAGCAGAGCGCGCCTCCGCGGCCCGGGCCTGCGGCCTCCAGGCGGGGTCGGGGACGGGGACAGGAACGGAGGGTGGGGTGCAGGCCGTGCGTCTCCGCGCTGCATCCCGGCGCGCGCTGCTGCAACTGCAATGGGAGTCTAAGCTGCTGCCTCTGCTGCTGCTGCTGCTGCTGCTAATAGGGGCGGCCGCCAGGGCTTCCCGACCAGCTAGTGCACGGCGTTCCCCGTGCTTTGCTAGTCTCAGATCGTGTCTAGCGTGTGAGAAACGCTAAGGAGGCCCGTGTTTTTGTCATCACCCACAGCCACCTTTACCCGTTTTGCTACCCGGAACTCGCTACCTATTTACTCAAAGCCAGACCAATTCGAATTCTGCGCTATGTAAACAGGCTGTGATGAGTCAGGATGTACAGTTCTTCCCAGGGATGGTTCTGGTTCTATCGATTCTGCTGCTTTATTTAGAAGTGAAATTACAGCCCCTGGGCTCACTGGCAACACTGAACGTGACACCTGTCGCTAAACAACAGCCAGGAACTGAGGTCTAGGTGAGCTAGAGAGCTGTGTTTTACAAATTTATAAGGGTTTGCGTCTTGGGTATATTGCATTACACCTCAGGGAAGATCATGGAAACCTGAGGGAACAAATTGTTTCATTAAAATTACTTATAATTAACTGTGAGCTGTGTGATAGCCTTTTTACATTGGAGCCCAGTATCCGTTTTCAGTGCTCGTCCCTGAAGCTTCGTGGGCAGCAATTGGAAGAAAGATGATCTTATCTGCATCTTCAGCGTAACCTATTTTGCATATTGAACCAGGTGTTTGTTTACCAGAAAGTTTTTCTGTTATTTAAGCGCTCTGAGAGCATGGTCACCCCTTTTCGAGACCCTTCTCGGTAGTTCTAACGTGAATAAACATGACCAGCTGCCTTCATGCACATCCTCGGGGTCTGGTTAGGGTCAGAGCCAACGAAAAGCAGAACTGAGAAATCTCAGTGGCTGATCTTTGCTGGGTACCCGCTGTGTGCCAGGCACCACATTTGCCTGTTTTCATTTTTAGGAAAATGACTTTTGATTTTTATGTGTGTGAATGTTTTGCCTGCAAGTATGCATGTGCAACACCTGTGTGCCTGGTGCCCACGGAGGCCAGAAGAGGGTGTCAGATACTCTGGAAATGGAGTTACAGAGCCTTGTAAGCATCATGTGTGTGCACTGGGAACTGAACCCTGGTTCTCTGAAAGAGCAGTCGCTGCCATGACAATTTTTCTGTGACCTATGGTCTTCTTGAATTGCTTGCATCTGCTCAACACCTGCTTAGTTCGAATGCCTTCTATCCTGTGGTTTGTCTAATGTACGTCCTGTTACTTTTAGCCTTATCACCCTTTTTCATTAAAGTATAAAGCAGATTTTCATGACTTTTATAAAGGCTTCTGATTTTCTATTCTTTAAAATGTTATTTATTTTATGTGCAGTGGTGTTTTGTCTGTGTACCACATGCTTCCTGGTGCCTGTGGAGGCCAGAAGAGGGCCTTGGATCCATCTGGCACTGGAGTTACAACTTGTTGTCACCTCGTGGGTGCAGGGAACACAAGCCTGGTCCAGGGTGGAGCAGCCAGTGTTCCTGACTGCTGGTGTCTCTCCACCCCCAACTTCCGATTCTAATGTATTAGGGTCAGGTATAATGAATTAGGTACTCCACCTATGGTTACAAGAAGTCTATAACATGATCTCTCAAGCTCAGCACTATTGTTAATATGTTTCTTATATTAATTAATTAGTTAACTAGTTAATTTTCAAGTCAGGGTCTCACGTAGCCCAGGTCAGCCTCTAACTCCTTAAGTAGGTAAGGATGACCTTGAACTCAGAGTCTTCCTGCTAGAGTACGGGTGTAGCTCTGTTGACGCGGTTGGGAAGATAAGCGGTTCAGGAGGCTGTGCTGTGCATTGCAGGTTAGTTAGCAGCACCTCTGTGCTTTACCCACCAGACACTGACCCTCCTACTGTCGTCTATACATTGCTAGGTGCTCTCTTGAAGAAAACTCACCTGTTTTTTTTTTTTAATTTTTTTTTTCTTCCTGAGAGAGGGTTTCTCTGTGTAGTCCTGACTTTTCTGGAACTAACTCTTGTAGACCAGGCTGGCCTCAAACTCACAGAGATCCCCCTGCTTCTGCCTCCAGAGTACTGGGATTAAAGGCATGCGTGCGCCATCACCCGCCTGGCTTTTTTTAGTCTCTCCTAACTTTGAACCCTGAATTCGAGCTGATGGAACTGTTTTGGAGATTCTTCTACTGGTTACATAGAACCAGGGAAAGTGATTGTATTTATCTTAAGCTGGGTATATTGGTACACACCCACAAGACTAGTAGCTCATGGGGAGGCTGAGGCCAGAAGGTTGCAGGGGTTCCAGGTCAGCCTGGGCTACACATGGAGTACCAAGCACTGCATAATAATACTACATGAACAATAAAACCATTAGCCAAACAAACAACAGAACCCTTTCCATAATGGCCAAGTGATTTTTTTTAAAGATTTATTTATTTATTTATTTATTTATTTATTTATTTATTATGTATACAGTGTTCTGTCTGCATGTATGCCTGAAGGCCAGAAGATGGCACCGGATCTCATTACAGATGGTTGTGAGTCACCATGTGGTTGCTGGGATTTGAACTCAGGACCTATGGATGAGCAACCAGTACTCTTAAACTCTGAGCCATCTCTCCAGGCCCCAAGTGTTATTCTTATTTAATTTATTTAATTTTGGTTTTCTGAGACAAGGCTTCTCTGTGTAGCACTTGCTGTCCTGGAACTCACTCTCTAGACCAGGCTGGTCTTGAACTCAGAGATCCCCCTGCCTCTGCCTCCTGAGTGCTGGCATTAAAGGCATATGCCATCACTGCCAAGCTCCTATAGGTCAACTTTATATGAGACATTTTCTCAGTTGAAAGTCCCTTTTTTCAATGACTCTAGCTTGTGTCAAGCTGACACACAACTAAGCAACACAGGTAGGTTTTGTTTTGAGACAAGGTTTCCCTGTATAATCCCAGTCTGACTTTACATTTGTAATTCTGCCTCAGCCTCTGGAGCACTGGTATGTTCACCAGGCCTGACTGTATAGGATATTAGACTGTCTGGACCAGGATCAAGGAGAGACCAGATAGGACGAAGGCTTTTGTAGTGATGCAGATGAACTAGAACAGTAATTTGGAGCAAAGCAGTGAAGACAGGAGGATGTGGTGAGTGGCTAGGTTCTGGGTGATCTGTTGATAGAGTGTCAAGTGTGTCTAAACTGTAGCGCAGGGCCACACGCAAGCCAGCTATGAATGCCACTTAATGTAAAATTATTAGCTTGTTTAACACATTATGGATTTGTTTTGATTGCATGATTCTTGAGTATGAACTTCTATTGATGCAGCATCAGTCATAATGTCAAAGAGATGGACCTGTGTGCATGATCTTCTTATTTTTTTACTGTTTCTCTTGAGTATACCTGACCTAGACATTTGCCTGGAGACCCAGGAGGCCTCTATATAAGAAAGAAGAATTCGGTTCAAGATTTGATCCAGGTGAATTAGGCTCAGTTCTTCCTCCAGTGAGTTAGAAAATACGACGTTTCTTCATGGAGTCACTAATAACTCATACTCGTTATTTCTTCCTTTACTTGTATTGAGCCTGGGTTATTTGAGGCCCGTGTTAGACACAGGGCTGCACGATCAATTGGTCTCTCTTTCTGGCACCTGATGGGTCTCCACATGCAGGCACCCAATCCTCAGAAAGTCGGACTGGGATGAGATGGTAGCCCCAGGAGCTAAGCAGGCTCCGGAGGGTCCTGGGGTGGGACTAAGTGAGGACAACAGCCTGCTGAAGATGTGAACTGCAAGAATGGATTAAAGTGGGGCTGGACAGATGGCCCGGTGCTTGAGAACTCTTGTTCATGCAGAGGACTTGTGCTTGGTTCTCAGCGCCCAGATGATGATTCACAACCATCTCTATCTAGTTCTAGGGGATCTGGTACCTCTTCTGACCTCCTTGGGCACCCAGCATGTACATGGTATACACACACACACACACACACACACACACACACACACACGCAGGCAATGCACATAAAATAAATAAGTATAAAAACATTTTAAAATGACATTTACTCCTTTGGGTGGGGGAGAGGTATGATATGCACCTTGGTGTGAAAGAGGCGGTCAGAGTTCAATTTACAGGACTCAGTTCTCTCTTTCCATCATGTGGGTCCCAGAGATCCATTTCAGGTCGTCTTAATTTGTGGCAAGTGCCTTTAACGACTGAGCCATCTTGTAGGCCCTCCTTTATTGCTTCTTTTGAGACAGGATTTCAGGTAGCCTAAGCTATCCTTGAAAGAAATCACTCTATAGCCCACACTGACCTTGAACTCCTGATCCCCCTGCCTCCATCCCACAAGAAGGAGCTGTTCTGTCTCCAGGCTGTAGTTGCTGGTGTGTGCTCTCGCCTCCTCCAGTAGTGAGTTCAACACTCAGTTACACACAAGTTGGGCATCTCTACTAGAGTTTGAGGAAGTCGTTATGGGAAACTGAAACCATTTGGGTCTGGTTGAGAAAACCATTAGCTGCTGTTCAAACCTCAGAGTAAACTTGCTTGTGCTGGAATGTCCCTGGCTATGTTTGTATATTTAGACATTCAGGCCCTTTCCTTCGCTCTGGTTCTTGATTGAGCTATTGTTTTTTTTTTTTTTTTTTTTTTTCCTGCCAGCATCCTGGCTCCTCCCTGTTGTAGCTAAGCCTCTGGGGGAAATTGCTCAGAGCTCTAAGTTACCACTTAGACCTGGATGGAGGTGGGTGGTCCTTGGACTTCCCACAGGTCAGGGAACCTTGATCGCTCTTTGGGCTGACGAGGGAGGGGGACTTGATTGGGGGAGGGGGAGGGAAATGGGAGGCAGTGGCGGGGAAGAGACGGAAATCTTTAATAAATAAATAAATAAATTAAAAAGAAAAACAAAAAAAGCAAGAAGGCAGG